TAATATATCATTTATTTTATAATTTATAAATTTTAACCATATGTATATAGTCATATTGTTTGTCCTTATAAAATTTGAATAAAAACTTTAAAAATTCATATGCAAATTCTTAATTTTCATTTTATATATATTTTCATAGAATATATCATTAATCTTTTTGCAACTTAAAAATTCAGAAAATAATCCATCATTTTTTTTTCGACTTTAAAACTTAAAATATAACTAATCAGTTCTTATTTAAGTTTTTGAATATTCAAATAATAATTTCATCAGTTTTCAACAATCTCTAAAAAGTTAGATAATAACTCATCATTTTTTTATTAAAAATTCAAATATAAATTAGTTTAAATTGTATTATGTTTATAAAACACAATATTGTTATAACAAAAATATATAGAAAGAAAATTTGAAAACGTAACTTTAAAGTGGTTGGAATAAAAAAAATGACTTCTGGAAAATGTTAATGAACTTAATATTAGTTAAGTGAAGTGATATGTATTTTATTATGACATCAGATCAGCTTTATAACTCTTTGAACTTCTTTAAGTTGAACCCATTTGCACCAAATGAGCATTAGATGGATTTTTTGAAACGGGCTTGTTGATTTGCTTCAAGATACAATGCGATACTACATTCTTTAACAAGTATAGGTAGTCTGACATTTTCCCCACTTCGATCTAGTCCTCTGCCGTGGTGTAAACATGCTGCTTTTACAATTAGGTACATTAACAGTAATCATTACGTCAAAATATCTTTGGCATAAGGGCACCTGATGCCTTATTGTGTCAAATTTGTTTCGTTTCAAATATGATTGTACAACTGCATGGGTTACTTCGTACATGACCCGAATAATAAGTACGGACAACTGTTATCAAGTAATTGTACTACGGAATTTACTTCACTTGATTGAGTTGTAATATTTTCATATTTTTTGTAATTTATTTGTTGATTTATTAATTAACTTATTTTGATGTTCTTTTTTATTAAATTATTTTATCTTTATAGATTTAAATATTTATTTAAAAAAAATACATATATAAATTATTAATTAATTAAAACGTTAACAATAYAATTAWAAAAATTAAAAATAAWTTTATAGTTATTTGAATTAATTTATAAATAGTTAGTTGRCAAAAATTTATTATAAAACATAAATTTAGAAAATGAAAATTAGAAAATAATGTTCAAAAAAAAGTTATAGAACATACATTTACAAGACAAATTTTTGAAAAAAAATTAATGAAAAAAAATTATTAGTTGACTTTGACTTAAGGAATAGGAGGGGTGCACTTTACCAATAGAGAGAGATGCATATATCCTCGTCAATTGTCAGCATGAACAAAAATTTATAGCAAAATCCCAAAATAATCATCGAGACTTGGGGCATCTTTGTTGGCAGTTAAATGAGATTAATGGGATTCACAACTTATTTGGTCAGCTATACGTTACTGGCTTAACAATCTAGAAAGTGACTTATTCAGTAAGCTTTTAGGAGAGTTTTTTTGTAGAAAGTCAAGTTTTTTTTTTCTTCCAAACGTGTCTTTCTAATTAAAAAAACGCTTCTTTCATCTATGAAAAAATCCTCCTCAACAAAATCCACCCCCTATCTATATGGACAGTTTTATTGATACAAGACTTAATGGAAAATCAACTAAACAGTCCAATATATGTAAGATAACGTATTTGATACATAATATTAAGCTATCACTATCCTCTTACTTACAGGGTCTCAAGATTCTAACTCAATAATGTCAACGGGAATGTTAGTATATGCTAGAGATGCGTAAATTGGCTACTTGGTCTGTTCTTGCAACCTCACATGGTGTTGGGTCGGTCCCTTTGTAAACGATACTCGTCCGGACTAGTCTCCCAAGAGATAATACCTTAATTGATTGTAATTGATCTCTTTACCTGCCTTTCTTTTAACATATGAACTATTTCTTCTGTTTTTTTTTACATTTATATATTTAATAAAAAAAATGTTTTTAGATGAGTTACTAAAAAAGAACTTCAAATTTGATGGCTCTATGTGTGAGTTGTATTTTGGTTGAATTACCAAAATATTCAAAACTATATGATAAATATATATTTAACAAAATAATAGGATAAAGGTGTTTGAAAATTTATCAGAAGATATACGAGATTAACATAAATGAGACAGATACAGTTCCCTTAAAATAGATTTGTTGTCTAACATTTGTTCCAGAGTACAACGGCCTAACTGCCTAAGCAGATATGCTGCCAAACTTAAACAATTTGTCTAATGTTTGAGTATGTTTTTCTTTCTCTTCATCGGTGCATGAACTGGACCATGGGAGATTTTCACTTTGAAGTGTGTCTACCTTTTATACGATTTCCGATAAACTGGTTCAATTTCCTCCCAACTGGTTCGGTTCCAAGTACATACGTGCCATCTTATCCTTAAAAAACAACTTTTGAAGCAAAAGTTGAAATTCCAAGGAATCTTGAAATTCAAATCTTGAGGGAAAATTGTTTAAGGTGAGAATTTTATAACTCGACCGACTAGGTTATCTACGACATTGATATTCTCAACCTGCCCTCATTTAGGACTGTTGAGGGTATCAAATAATTGCGACTGACTAGGATAAGTTCTTATGAATTGACCATATTATCCTCGATGAGGATAATATTTATAACATATGATCATTAATAAGCATGATTAATAATAAGTTATTCTATGCTCACGGCACGTGTAACACAGGAACACTGCCAACGGGTATGCAAACCTATAAGGTCGCACACAAAAGAATACGTTTTCCCTATTCTTAGAAACCTGGATTAGATTATGTTGATTGTTGGAATAATTATTCTTGGAGGTTAATTATGAAAATATGTGTTAAAATGTAATTATGCTAATTACAGAGTGTTATCTGTAAATATTTATATTTATATTAAAGTTTAAGATAATTATATAAATATTACAAATAATCACATAACCATTTTATAGGTCATCTATAACTGCAGTGCATATAAATAAGGTGATAAGCTAAAGATCATTTGATTGAATTTCTTTTAAATTTTAGCTATCAGAGAAAAAGAGAAAAGAAACCATTATTTTCTGTTAAACATATATAAATCTAGGGTTTAGAGCTAGCACCTGGTGGAGGCCAGAAGTGCGTTCGTGTGTGGATCACCAAAAGAGGAAATCTACTTTGGTTTTTAAGTGCTCTATTAAAATCCTTGACAGATCCGAAAGGTAACCCTCTAAGCACCATATGGCTGTTTAGATTTGTTTTAATTATCATTGGATCCGGCTTGGAATTTTATTTTATAAAATTTTCTAAATCAATTGTAACCTAGAATTATTTTCCGCTGTGTTTAAATGGTTACAAAACGTTTTAAAACGCTACAATGTTATCAGTATTTTGACATTAAACACTTCAATCAGAATTAAAGAATAAAAAAAAGGGAAACTGGAATAGGGTAAGCCCATCTTCGGTCACAGGGCGTCGTGGCTAGGGATTTACCTTAAGCAGTGCGTCGTGCATCAGACTTTCCCGGAGTTGTTGTTGCTTCATGGTGTTTGTAGCCATGAACCACAACCGTACTGTGATGCCTGGTTCTGCCGCCTCATGGTTGTTCTCCGGTCTAATCACCACTTGATAGTTATTGTTTTTGTTTCGCACAGCCACTGCAAGCATCTTTTGTCACACTATGTTTTCTACCCTACTGCGAGTCTACTTCCTGGTTGCACCGCCTGCCGTGCCTTGGCATGGTGTGTTGGAAATTATATGTAAGGTTGGAGGTTTTCCTCCATCCCACGTTGGTAGATAAAGAAACTATAGAGAAGCTTATAAGGATTTATCTAGAATTGAGCTTTGAACATATGAGTAGACTCATGG